AAAAAAAAAAAAAAAAAAAAAAAACCATATTTAAGTTTTTTTTTTTTAATTTTTTTTAAAATTAATTACTTTTACTTTTTCATGAACATTTTAATAGTTATTTAAAAGTATGGATTATTAATCAATAAAAATAAAGCCATAATTCATTTTGTTAAAGGCTATAAATTCCACGTGGCATATTGGGAAGAGGCCACATAATGAAACTCCGACCATACTAAGATAATGTTCAAAATTAGAGGTTTTATTGAATTATTGTGATCAATTATTGACAATTTAAATATTTATAACGAAAATTTATAAATATTTAAATTGTATTTCCAACATATAAGTAAATTAATGTATTATTTCACAATTATTATATTATTATTATATTTAAAAATGAGAAAAAAAATCAACAACGCTATTAAAGCTTCTTTTATGAATTTAAATTCACGAGATTTTTTAAAGATTTTTGTAGTTTAATTATTTTTAAAGATTATGTAATTAAATATGTGAGAATTTTCTAATTAAAAGAGAGATATTGCGAAATAATAATATATTCTGTAATTTAATTTGTTGTCTTTGTTTAAATATTTTATTTATTTTAATTTTCCCATTTTTATTTTTGGAATTTTGCGTGATTTACGAATATACCCCCGAAGATACGGCACATATGATTGGAGATGTCTACTGAACCCGGTCCAGGCGTCCAAAATTCAGGCAAATCGAGCCCTTCCGAAATGGGCCCCCAAACCGGGCCCAATTAGCTTCTCTGACCCGGCCCAATATCTTCCCTTCAAAAATCATTCCCTCGCCCCCATCTTCCTCGTACGCTCTTTTCCTCTTCTTTTCCCTCTCTTCAATGGAGTCCTCTCACGACGATATCGCCGACGACCTACAGAGCTTGAGCTTCAACTCCACCAACACTAATCGCAGCACTAGCTCCGGCTCCGAGACTACTCTCACCGCCTCCTCCTCCTCCTTCGTTCATATCCCTTCCACTTTCAACAAGCCTCACGCGCCTTCCTCCGACCCTTGCTGGTCAGCTGTTAGCCGGATCCGATCCGAATCGTCTACTCGCCAACTCGCCTTCTCCGACCTTAAGTTCTCGCACCGTCTTGGCTCTGGCGACATTGGCTCCGTCTACCTCGCTGGACTTAAGTCCGCTGGAGATGACGGATGTCTCTTCGCGGCGAAGGTGATGGATAAGAAGGAATTGGCGAGTCGAAGTAAAGAAGGCAGAGCGAGGACTGAGAGGGAGATTTTGGAGTGTTTGGACCATCCGTTTCTTCCAAAGCTCTATGCTAGTATCGACTCGCCGAAATGGCTCTGTCTCTTGACTGAGTTCTGCCACGGCGGCGACCTCCATGTTCTCCGGCAACGGCAGCCAAACAAACGCTTCGGTGAACTCGCCGTGAGGTGCGCACAGTAGCAAATCAATGAATCATCTCTTGAGTTTCAATTTCAATTCCATTATTTTGCACTCACAATATACAAATTCCAGAAGAGGACCTTTTCTTTTTCTTTTTAGTATTTTTAAATTGCGGGATTGGAAGATGGGTTGGGATCTGGTGTGGGCGAATGTAGTTGATGCGGGGAAAATGCATGCTCCGGGAAAGTGACGATTCGTGTTACTGGGCCTACAATCTGACATAACCAGTATGATGGTCAGAGGTGGGGACCAGCAGGTTGGTTATTGTCGCTTGAGGGATTTGTGGAGAATAGAATGCTACTGTGGGCCTGCTCGCACTGGATTATCTGAGCTCGTTGCTATTGGATGGGTATATAGATAGATAGGGAGGTTAATACTTAATATTGAGAGAAACTGGGATTGTTGAGTGCTGTCTCGAACTCGGTGGTCTGATGCGGCAAGGCCCACGTGAGCTCGAGATTCGATGTACTGAGCGATCCAATAGGATCCATATTAGAAGGTCAAAGTTCATCTCTCTTGTTGACTTTTTTTTTTAAAAACCCAATAATTTTACCGCAAGCGGCGTCTTGAGAAATTTGTTCCAAGTGAAGCAAACCATGTAGCCGAAATCACTGGGTTATCGGAAATGGCCTCTTAGGTGCTGTTTGTGAGCTGTTTTTCTTGGTTCTAAAGCAAATTTCAAATAGCATTTATTGCGGTTTTCCGAACAAATCTTTGATGGGTTATTTTAGGATAGTTTTTCCTTTCTAAAAACACCTTACATATGCAATTTGCTAAAGAAAACAGCGACCCTTTTAGCTAGTTTAGTTAGTTTCTACTTTCTTCTTTGATCATGTCGGTTTGGACAGTGTCGTGAGGAAGGAGTATAGCGTCCCCATCGCATTAATTCTTTGATAATTGCCATTTCATCTCCATTGAAATAAAGACAACTACCCCAAGAAGGCAGCTGATATTGAATTATAACCATCCATTAATATGCCGTATCTTCTGGTTAGATCAACTCCTGATGAACATTCATTTAGTTCAATGGCTAGGTGTCATAATTTTTTCTCAAAGGTCCCGTAAGTTTCTGCAGCTGGTCTTAACTTATTGTACAAAAGGGTAGCCTCCAAACTAGTAAGTAGAGTAAAGGGTACAACATAAGTGAATCATAGTGTAAAAGTTCTGGTAAGAAAGCATGCTTTTTTGTCCATTTATTACCATTACTGCAAACAGAGTTTTCTCTCTCTGTTTGTCTCTCTCTCTGTTGCTTGAACAAGTAGTTCTGTTTTGTTTATATATATTTTCTTGGGGACGCTGCGGGATGTGGGGGTAGTGATGGTGTAGGGTCCAAGACAGGTACTATATAAATACATACATTAGAAGTTTATATGGCCAAAATGTCAAATTGGCATATAATATAAACAATTCTAGTGGTTGCTCTTTAGCATCAGCGAGGGGCTCACCACATTGTCCTTTCTCAAAGATTTTTAGATCTCCAAAAGGAATTAGAATTCCAAATTTCCTGGTTCTGCGCGCTTTTGCTGGATTTAAATTACTCATGTTTTTGTCAAATCTTCGAAGTGTTGTATAAGAAGTTAATGACCATGTGATAATGCAAGAATCCGAGGCCTCCCACGTTTGCACAATAATGGGAGGATTATAAATGTGAATGCATATTATTTGTTAATATCCTCAATATGCGACAAGTGGCCAGGCCAAGGAGATGAGACATATATACAGGCAACCCAATGAAAAGGAGGGAAATAATAGTATTGATATAGCTATGAGGTTGGCCCACAGGCTAAAAGTCTAAAGACATTTCGTTGTTTCTCTCTTGTTCTTTTGCTATTTATGTTCTGTATATACGGCCAATAGCAACAGCCCTTTTCTCAGACATGCTTGGTTTTGATGTCTTGTTTTTTTCTCTCTGCTATTGACTTTGTGTCAGGTCTCATCACCCTATAGTTAAGTGTTTCGTATAATTTTGAAAGGCATTTGTTGTTTGCTTTGTAGATTCTATGCATCAGAGATAGTAGTTGCTATTGAGTACCTTCACATGATGGGGATTGTTTACCGTGATTTGAAGCCGGAAAATGTGCTGGTACGATCGGACGGCCATATCATGCTCACTGATTTTGATCTCTCCTTGAAGTGTGAGGATTCAACAGCGACCCCACAGGTTATCACTGCCAAAAATGCAACAAATGGCACTGCCCGGCCAAAGAACTGCCAAATTGAGGCCCCTCCTTTCACATCCTCCTCCTGCATACTTCCAAACTGCATAGTCCCGGCAATGTCGTGTTTCAACCCGAAACGCAAGCGCAAGAAGAAGTCTAGCCACAGCAATGGACCTGAGTTTGTTGCTGAGCCGGTCGACGTCCGGTCCATGTCGTTTGTTGGCACCCACGAGTATTTGGCGCCAGAGATTGTCTCTGGTGAGGGCCATGGAAGTGCAGTGGATTGGTGGACTTTAGGGGTGTTTGTGTTTGAGTTGTTTTATGGAGTGACACCCTTTAGAGGCATGGACAATGAGCTCACCTTGGCCAACATAGTGGCCAGAGCCCTTGAGTTTCCTAAAGAACCAGTGGTGCCGACGGCGGCGAAGGACCTCATATCGCAATTACTGGTCAAAGATCCGGCAAGGCGGCTGGGGTCAACAACAGGGTCGTCGGCGATCAAGCACCACTCATTTTTCCAAGGGGTAAATTGGGCATTACTGAGATGTACGTCGCCACCATTCATTCCTCCACCATTTAGTAGAGAAACTGCAACGGATGAAAGCTGCCCAGAGGCCCCAGTGGACTATTATTAGTGGCTAAATTGAGCAAGATTGGTATTATTTTTGGACTGGTTATTATCAGCCAGCGACAGTCGCCCAACCTTCCACGGCTTGAGCACATGGGGCCTTTGTAAATCTTACAATGTGCATATATTAATAAAGCATCCTTAATTGAAATATAGTTCTAAGCCATGACTCAGAGAGAGAACCTCAGCCACATAGCTAGCTGGTTGAGATTTTAGCTGTTATTATAGTTGTACTAGATCTTGCAATGTCTTCTTTAGTTTCACCTACAAAAGTTATAGCTCAACTGAGCAAAATAATAGCATTTATCATGCAATTATGAGAAACGTGATATAGCTTTGATCTTGATGCATCTACTCCGACAAAGTGTGTTTGATAGTTGGTGCTGAGACACTTAAAATCTTTATCTTTGTTATACTATTTCGTAATGTCATTCATTCTGAACCACACTGATTCATCACATCTGTTTTTGCCTTGCAGAAGCCGCCTGTGGTGTAGTGGCGTCTACTCCCTGTCTTGGTATCGTCAAAGAGGTATGGCTGATGGATATCAAAGTAGCTGGCGATGGCTGATGGATCATGATTATGAATGAAATAGGTATTATTTATTTTGTGTGTGTTTGCATGCGGGGGTCGCTCACAAGATCACATGCCTTGTTTTGTGAAAAAATGTGGGGTTCGTCGAGACACACACACACACACACACTAGTGGTTTGGAGCAATGAGCAGTCGTTTTCCTGTAGCTTTGTAATGCGTCTGCTTTGATTTGCTTTTTTTCCTATTTTATTTCTTCAACACGTCTGTTTCCATTTGTCTCAAATGGCTGCATGTCTCTCAGTTTTGGAAATTCTGCTTAAATTTTTCTCCACCCATCTTTTCTCAGCCTACTTTAAACAAACGGCAGAAGTATCAAATTGAAAGGAAGGCAAAAAAGGTAGAAACTTGTGAACAGACTATCTCTTTAGCTTTCTCTCTCTTCAAGTGTTGGAAAACGACATGGAGACATGCGGACAAGCCTTGCAGACCCAAACGGAGAATCAAACACCCCAGACCTATAGAATTTTTTTGTCTCAATAATTGGAAGTGTTGTTCAAATTAGGCGACATTTGGCATCATGTGTTTGGCTTGTGGGTCTCGATGGGATGGACAGGACAGTTGCCGGTAAGTGATAAGAAGTGATTGAAGTATCTAAGAAATTATCTTATGATCTGCTTTAAGTCTTTTTCCGGCAGAGCCTATGGTCCCATTTTCATTGATTCGATGCTCCTATAGGCTTTTTCTTTGCATGGTCAAGTACATAGAATAGGCAAATATTTATTGGAAAAATTTATGTATCACCATTCTTATCCAGCTTCTTCTCCACAATTTTTCAAATTCCGTTACGGATGCAAGAACGAATCATCTACTTGTAAAATGATAATTTAAGCTTTAATGGGTTGAGAAACATGTCAAGATCTTTATTGGGCTAACGTCCTAAAAGCTAGATCCTCTTTGAAAGCAAGATAAAGTAATGGCTTACACTTTAATGGCTTACAAATGTGTGTTTAGAAAATCAATCGTAAGATAAGATAAACTAGTGTTTCATAAATTTAATTTTAATTTTTGATAAATTAATACTATGCTGCTATTTAATCATAGTATTTACTATTCCAATTATATTTCATTATTTAATTAACAATTTATTATAAGGTGATTATTTTAGAATTTATATGATATTAACTGTATCAATTTTTGTTTAATTTAAATTATATTTGACAAGAGTAGAGAAAATAGATGTGAAAAAAATTAAATAAATACGAAAATCTAAATCCGAAACTTGTATAGCATTAGGAAAGCTAAATCTAAATGTTGTTTTAACAAACACCCTACATAGCTTAAGATTATCTCATAATTGCTTTCAGCCTTCCAAATCTAAATGTTGTTTTAACAAACACCCAAATTGATGTTGATAAGTTTAATGGATGTAGGCCCTGTACCCTAGCATAGAACAATAATGTGGAATTTTTTTCATTCAAATCTCAAACTTTTGGAAATACCATATTGATATAACTTCAATGTAAACTACAAAATAAAATATTAATCACCGAATTGATTTATCTATATTTCTCATGATATCTCATTATCTCTAAACCTCTATCAGCTTCTAGTGTAGCATTCGGAAGACCGAAAAGACTACCTCCAATACAAATACCTGATTTGTAGATTATTCCCCCATGAACGTCTACAACTCAAGTAACATTATAATAAAAAACATTAGTTTTAAAAGTACTAAATAATCAAAACAGGAAGAAGTTCATATTAGAAGTGTTTTCATGTTATAGGACATAAATGATTGGACCAGCAAGAACGTTTCGTTTAGTCAAAGGTGGTAAGGAAGAAGGAAGACTCGTAAAGTCGAAGATGGAAAGGAATAAAGAAGAAGGGAAAAAAGAAAAAAGGAAAAAGGAAAAAGGAAGAAGGCAGCAGCAAAAGACAAAAAGGGTGACGTAATACGTCACATAGTATAGATATACGACATGGGGAAATAGCTTATCGAATAAACTATTGATATCATTTTAACAACAATCTATTTAGGTCCCTAACACCAATCAATTCTATCGTTCCTTTGAACTTCCAAATGTACAAAATTAGTCGTTTCTGACAAGAATAAGACGGGACTAAATAAGATTTATTAAAAGTATAGAAACTAAATTTATCGAGACTAGAGACCGGAATGTTGGTATGATAACCCCATCTTTCAAATGTCATGAAAAGTGCAAACCAAATGCACAATCCATTAAGATCCTAAAATCAATTGATAGGCCTAGGATTGACAGCAGATAAAAAGTGGTGCATATTTTCGAATTCTATAGCCAAGTGCAAATAGCACACGCATCAAATAGAGTGAAACAATAGAACAAACAGTGAGAGAATTAGCATACTCTAAATTAATCATGCATATTGAAATGAGACGGGAATCATAAATCACGCAAGTCAAATGACAGTAATCGCTGAGAAGTTCAAACTGAAAATTGCACTCTCATCTATCAAAATTTGTGAGTACTAATGAAGTTAAAGAAAGTGAAAAACACCTACCAAGCTACACAGCTCGGAAGCTTGAACGAAAGTAAACTAAAGCACTAACTGATAACGTCAACTAAAGAGTTGCTTAATCAAAGAGGCTGAAACCCATGTCCTGCAAAAAGATAGAAGAACATACGAACATAAAATTTAGGTGTCATTATATATATAGACCAAGCAATTACCATGTAGAAAAGAAAATGTGTAACCCTTAGAATAACCGGTTAAGAACTTACATCGTCGGATTCTTCTTTCTCCTCGACCTTCTCCTCTTTCTTCTCGGCTGCGGCTGGTGCTGCACCACCACCAGCGGCACCACCGGCAGGGGCGGCGACGGCGACTGCCCCGCCACCAGACGGCACTGACGCCAATTTCTCCCGTCCGGAAGCTATCAACTCGGTGATATCTTTTCCTTTCACTTGGGTTAATAGCGAGTTAATCCTGTCCACATCGACCTCAGCCCCGACTGTAAACAAAACCCCGCTAGGAATCTCAACACAAATTCACTAAGAGCACTAATCGTTTCAGGTCAGTCAATTGAAGATTTCACTTCATTTCCAGCCTACCCTAATCTTTTGGATTGAACGAAAACTAACCATTCCCAAACCATAAAATACTAATCAATCTTAAACAGCAACAACACCAGTATAGTAACTTAAACTTTTAACTAAAAGAAAGATTGTAAAAGAAGAACCTGAATTAAGAATATCCTTCACATCATCAAGTCCGGGACTGGTGTTGCCTCCGAGTACGGCCAACAGATATGCAGCAACCACCTTCATCTCTGCTTCAACAACATAAAATATCAGACACCATAAACGAGAAGAACTTAAAGAAAATAAATCAGCGAAAAAAAATGGTACAAGAATGCGTACTTGAGAAGATCGAAACAGAAGCTGCAACCAAGACGAAGACAGAATGGAACGCGAACTACGGGGACGCGACTCTTTATACAATTAGGGTTTTTCTTTTTCGGGCCTTTTTCGTGGGCCTAAAATGGTTTATGGGCCTTTACGCTGTTTTGCCGTTTTCGGCCCTTATACGTTATTGTAGTTCAAGGGTACGGGCTGTAAATTCACATCGTAATTTAATTATGAGAAAGAAAAAAAAGAAAAAAATTGTTATTTTTATGAATAAAAAAATTGAAAAAATTATATTTTTTTAATTAAAAAAACGTCATCTTAGCTTTATTTTAATTAATTAAAGTGAAAATGAAACCAAAATGAAATTATAATTGTATTTTCCCATTTAACTTGTTTATTGTCAAAGGACGAAAATGCCCTCCGTATTTGGGCCGAAAACTGTAAATTACGCGGCCCTATAATGAGGCCCAAAAACAGTTTCGGCCCACTAAAAGGCGCGATGCAGGGGCCTTTTCGTTGGAGGATAAAAAGGCGTATATTTGCGCGGGAAAATCTTCTACCGGCTAAGTGAGGTGTCGGGCCCTTTTCGTCGGAAGCACTGTTTCTGAAAACTCTCCCTCTAAGTTACTCTCCTCGCATTCTGTTCATCTGAAGCATTTGTGTTGTGCTCTGCTCCTTCGCCGTTTGTTGAAGACCGGCAATATAATGAGCGGCGATAGCCGAAGGCGAGGCCGGGCAGACAACAGTAGGTCGAAGAAGCAGAGGATAATCCGGTCCGCCGAGGAGGAGATCGAATCAAAGCTTGGGTTTGATCTTTTCTCTGAAGGCGATAAGAGGCTTGGATGGTTGCTCACTTTTGCTTCTGTAAGTGAATTATGTAGAAGCTTGTTGCTCTTGTAGTTTCTTTTTGCCTGGTGAGTGGGTGATTTTAGCTGTCGCCATTTTGTCGAGGAAGTAAGGATAATTTAGGGAGTTGAATTCTTTTGTTGAGTTCAAAGTATAATTTTGTGTTACTTTCCTTCAACTTTCTTTTGTCTAGGAGAAAGAAATTTAATAGATAAAGAGGGAAAAAGATGGCAATCAGGCACGTCAAAAACCTTTTACGCGGCAGATACATCAGTTACTTAGTACAATCGTTGTACGGTAGGCTGTTAAGTTGAAATAAAATTAGTGGCGGGAACCTTGGTAGTTATGGGTGAACTTATTTGGTCAAGCGTCTAGGTATTTAGTGCATTTTTTCGTTAATTTGTAACCGAATGAGGAAAGCGTAATGCCTACAAAACACAAGGAGATGTCTCTTTTATTACCTATTTCTGATTTTTTTTTCTTTTAATTTTTGGATAATAAACAATTACAAATTTTCAGGGAGTGGGTGAATTAAAGTAGTTGTTACGGAAAATTGGTCTGAAATGGATCACTTCATTTGTGGGTATTATTATTTATATATGTGAATGTTTGCGCTATCTTCGGTTAACCTTGACCATTTTCATTTTCGTAGAACAATTGCCTGACCTTACTATATTTGATTGCCAAGGAAACTCGTGAGATATTTAATCTCAAGTAGCACAGTTTTTTAATTTATGGGTATTATAGAAATTATAGATTATGGTGATTCGATCTTTCTTCTCTGATCACACCAATATTGAATTAGAAGGGATTGCCACGAGAGTGCAAGAGGATTGAAGAGTTTGCTTTATGGCATAAGACTCCTATCTTTTATCCTCGAACCTTTTCAGGCAAGAAAGGAGCCATGGTTAAACGTTTTGTTGCCTCAACTCTGTTGGTTCTTATGGATTTTGCAGTACATTGTTAGCTCGTTTCTCACCAAATTTATTCCCAGGATGCATCTTGAAGTTGCAATATTTATTTTCATTAAAAAAAAAAGTTGTAGTTGTATCCTGTATTTTAGGTGTGGCCCATGGAGTTTTGTTGCACAACTTTAATAAGATGATTTTACTTATAAAGCGATGAATTCACTTTCTAACTGAGGAAGTTCTATATATTGTTTGTCAGAAAAAGAAGGGCATGAGAATGTTGCAAAATGCTTATGTTCTATGTTATACATTTACTTCTTGATCCTTATTTCACATTTAGTATTTCACATGTTGTATATATTGAAAGTAAAATATGTGTATTTCCTTATTTAATAAGAGCATTGTAATTGAGAAGTAAATAAGAGCATCGTGATTGATTTAACTCGCTGATGAGGTTACCCTGCCAGTTTACGGGACAGAGGAAGACATGCAATCCCAAAGTTAAAAAGTTAAACTTTGTATTGCAATTCATTGTTTACTCATACAATTGTTCAGTCTATGATATGAAAAGTGAAGAACATCATCAATGCTTGATTGTAAATTTGCAGTCAGCTTTGGAGGATCAGGACACCGGAAAGATCTATAGCTGTATCGATCTTTATTTTGTGGCACAGGTAAAAAATGGCATAACATAACTGTTTCAGATCGTGTATAATGAATTTGTTCAAAGTGTATCTTTTTTGATTTGGTACAGGATGGCAGCAGTTTCAAGTCAAAATATAAGTTTCGTCCTTACTTCTATGCAGCGACAAAGGTATATGACGCATGTAAAAGCCATGTTGTCTGCTTTATCTTCCTCGATCAATTCTCTGGTGAAACATGCATGTTGTGGTTATCATCATTTTGCAATAACAATGAATAAAATGATGCAAATGTTGTAGGACAAAATGGAAACTGATGTGGAGGCTTATTTGAGACGACGTTATGAAGGTCAAATAGCTGATATTGAGATTTTAGAAAAAGAAGACCTTGATCTTGTAAGTTTTCACATGGATATACTTACATCTTTTGCCTACTTTAGTTATGATTTTAATATTTATTCTTAAATGGTGCTAAAGAACAAATAATATTGCAGCTTTGATGTGGAGAGCATTGTCATTATGAACTTAAGAATCTAGAATTTCCTATTCTTAATGAGCTGTTATTATTTTGCTATTGCCTAGAATCCATTGAGCATTTGTGCTTTGATGCATGTTGAACCATAAATAACCTTACTACTACAGTGCATCCTAGCCTTAAAATTTCTTTGTATAAGTTATGGTCAACAATGTAGATGGTAATGATAATCTTTCTCTAGATAAGTGCGTCTTGTTGTCTATTCAACATTGTTTTGCCTTATGAAAAAAAGGAAAGACTCATTGTTTTTCCTTGTTTCTTTTTACAATGTGCTGACAATTGCTTAAGCATTTAGATTTTACACTTTTCAGTTAACATGAGACTTTTTTCTCTATATGACATGCATTATGCATTCATTTTATTTGTTTATGCTGCATAGGATTTATTACCATATTACTCAATTTCAACTTTATTGCTTCTTTTTGCTTGATCTTGCTTGATATGCATCTTCTGATGTATAATTGTTTGCTTCTTTGCAGAAGAATCATCTGTCTGGCTTGCGCAAGGCATATTTAAAGCTATCATTTGACACTGTTCAAGAATTGATGAACGTGAAGAGTGAATTGTTGCGAGTTGTTGAAAGCAATTGGGCAAAGTCTGATGCTGCAGAAGCATATGATTCTATTTTATTTGGGAAAAGGTGAACCTTAGACGTTTAAGTTTAATGTGCATTGTATAACACAATTTTGTAATTCTTTTAGTTTGTTAATTGTTTTTCAGAATTAGATATTCAGTTTTATGAGAATGTGAGATGCTTGATTTTGGTATAGCAAGATAATCCCATAAAATATCTATAAAGTAATTGTTTCCATGGTCGGTCATGCTATTGTCTAAAGTAAAATTTAACACTGAAATATAAAATAAAAATATCCCTGCATTTGGGCAGTCTTTGGATGCTCTGGAACTCAAAAGTGAATATAATGAAACAGATTCTGATTTTCGAGCCCTATCATACGTTGGTGTTTCAGGTTTTAGTTTTATTATAGCACAAAGATGTTTTTTTTTTAAGTTCTCATCAAGGCATAGGCATGTCATTCATAATCATTACAAAGTTCAATTTTATTTGCTTGTCTTGGACTAATTTGTCTCTTGATTTTCAGGGAACAAAAGCCTCAAGATTTTGTAGAATGCATTGTTGATCTTCGAGAGTATGATGTTCCTTACCATGTTCGCTTTGCTATTGATCATGGTGATTTCTCATTTTATTTAGTTAGACTAGTATTCATATGTCTCTAAAGTGATTTCTTCATTTTCTTTCTTTTGACACAAATCTATTTGACAGATGTGCGCTGCGGACAATGGTACGATGTTAGTGTATCAAGCACTGGTGTTTCACTTGAGAAGAGAAAAGATCTTCTGCAACGTGCTGAAGTTCACATATGTGCATTTGATATCGAGACCACAAAGCTACCATTAAAATTTCCAGATGCTGAATATGACATGATAATGATGATTTCCTATATGGTTGATGGACATGGGTACTTGATTATCAACAGAGAGGTATTGTCTGTAATATCATCCCGACTCCTCTGTTGAGTGGAGGGTGATAAACTCTTCGGAAATTTGCTCAATGCATTTTACTTATTATCAATTTGGTTTGATTGTACTCATTTCTTTTGGTAATTTGCATAACAATTACTTACTTTAGTTCGATGGATCTATCAATCTTATTTAACTTTCAATTAAAAGTTATGCAAATATTGGCTAATGTAATTTTTATGATTATAAACGTGTTGGCATTTTAAATAACCACGTATATATAAATTCTATCAATTTAGAATTTCAATTTTTTTTTTCGCGGCAAAGTTCAATAAGTTGTTACAAGTTTGGTCAGGAAAATTGAAAAAACTCCTAGCCCTCTCTAACTAGATTTTACTCTCTTGAATAATTTATGCCAATGAATGCTGAATGGAGCTAAATTACCAGAATGACATCTTGACATGTACATGTTGTGTTTGCTCGGTAGTTCTTTAATTGTTTTGAGACTTTACAACGCACTTATTATTGTTATCTTTTATCTCCTAGCAATCTTCAAGTCATAAATTCATTTATTCTTTGTCTTAAGATTCATTTAGGTAACTTAAAAATGAAGGTTCTATTAGTCAGTAAGTTTTGATAATACTTTTCTAATATATGTATGCAAGACAATAATGACGGTGATTTCATAATATCTGCAGTGTGTTGGAGAAGATATCGAGAATTTGGAGTACACTCCAAAACCAGAATATGAAGGGTTCTTTAAAGTGACCAATGTGAAAAATGAGGTAAAGATTACATTTCCATGCTGTTATACGGTGTTCATGATCTTGTGATTAATCATGCACATCTACTTTAAAGTTGTTTAGTTTGATCTTTATTTAATATGATTTTCTTCTCACTATTGCAGTTAGAGCTTCTCAAATTTTGGTTTGCCCATATGCGAGAGGTGAAACCTGGTATCTATGTTACCTACAATGGCGATTATTTTGACTGGCCATTCATTGAAAGCAGAGCAGCGTATCATGGATTTAAAATGAGTGATGTAAGTTCGTTGTTTTCATTAATTGCCACTTTATTTGGAGAATTATAGTGCTATTCGATTATGTCTAGAGATACAGTGCTTTTTTGAAAGGGTTTTCAAAGCTTTAACTTCATTTGCACAGCTGTCGATGTATATGTACATTTGTAAAGTTGTAGTTGTAGTTGTAAAAAGAATACACATACATACATACATACATACATATATGTTAATCTTCGTGTGTAAAAAGAGTATATATACATATATATGTGTATGTATGTTAATCTTTGTGTGGCTAAAGTCATTCTGGATATGCTTGGAAACTCCATATGATTGTCAGTTTCTTTCTGTATTTTTTGATTTAGAAGTACTTGCATGATTTGTTCAGCAGTTGGAGTTAAAACTGTTCTTGCGTGTATGTTTCTAGTGCACCTTGAACTTTCATGCTTATGAGTTTTTGTTTTAAACTTGTATGAATTATTATTTGTAATGGCTAAAAAACGCTCCTATTGGTCAGTGGCGAATTTGAAATCAGTTGCTGCCGACATACATGTTATTCTTAGGTCATATGGTTTTAGTTACTTACTAATTTGTTTCCCGTTGAATCTTTATTATTGGTGCTGGCTCTAAACATTGGAACTTCTATTTTCCTAAACAATATTTTTGTTTTCATTTTGAGCTTGTAGGAAGTAGGATTTCAATGCGACAAGAATCAGGGGGAATGCCGTTCTAAATTTGCTTGTCATTTGGATTGCTTTGCGTGGGTTAAGCGTGATAGTTATCTTCCTCAGGGTAGCCAAGGTTTGAAGGTACAAAATTTAAATTCAGTCGTTTGTTCCTTTTATGTAACCGATCAGGAATTAATGGTTAATCCTGATTAAGAATGTTAACGTTATATGGGTTGTGTGGAAATTACTTTCTTGGGAAGGGGTTTCATAAAGCTGCTAGTATTGTGTCACTCAACCATGACCTAATTTCCTGTATGATTATAACTAAAAACTTCCTTCTTTCCCTTTATTAATCCCTCGGTTTTCCCGATAGCTTTCTACTGGTTTTCTTAAATTGTCATCAAGTAGTCAATAAAATGAAAAGTGAGATTGTCAATACGGATTTTTTCCAATATTTTCCTTTATGTTCAAACTGCATTGATGAATTAAATAAACAAAATGAAGAGTTAAGTGCAAAAGAGAGAGAGAAAAAAGAAAAAAGAAAAAGGAAAAAATAAGAAGAAAATAGACTACCCAGATGCTGAGGTTGCCTTGACTTCAAGGTAATTATAGTTCCATCAACCACAGCTAATGAGAAAATACAAAACACAATTGTCTGCTAACAATGCAGTGACAGTAATATGTAGAGTCTTCTAGTTTCTATGATAAGTAACTACCGTTTGATATCTATTGTTTGAATCTGACAGGCCGTTACAAAAGCTAAATTGGGTTATGATCCTCTTGAAGTGAATCCCGAGGATATGGTGCGGTTTGCAAAGGAAAAGCCTCAGGTACAAAACATGACTTGTTTTCTATTGTATTTATAATGTAATTAAGTTTTCATGATTCTGATAATAATGGAGTGGCTTACTCTGCACAAAGAAAAATGTAACCAAGTCTTGGATATTTAAATTAATGCATAAAAATATGGCACAAATATAAAGAGAATGCAATGAACGCTGTCATAGTGTGTTAAAGGATCAAAATTTGACTTGTTCTTATTCAACTTATTAGGTTTCATTTTATAGGCCCGTTTGTATTTTCTTCACCTTTTGCAATGAAACCTTGGTTTCTCACACCCAGGCTCTAACGTTGGCATGTCTAAATTATAGTTCAAGTGGGTATATTGTAACTATAACTAGTACGACAGTTTGGCTACTGTGTGGGTGATATCTACTTTCATATTAAAATGTTTTTACGTGGGCGAGCTTTGACATCAATTGATGCTATAGTATAGTATGATTGTTAAAGGAAAGAAACATATAGGTTTCATTTTCCATGTTTTGGTGACTATCCAAAGGCTTAGAGTTGGACTTTTCTTCAAGGCTGTATTTTCTCTCTTATTTTGCTCGTCAATTTTCTTATGATATGCAATTACATTTTTTTCTTAACTCTCAGCTCTACATGTTAATGTTTATTTATTTCCTAGAAGTTGAACTCTTGCAAGTTGTGAATCTAAAATCTTGCGAGTGTCTTCCTAATAACTGTTTCCTTTGTCACTGAAAATGTTATTGCAGATGATGGCGTCCTATTCGGTTTCAGATGCTGTTGCTACATACTACTTGTACATGACCTATGTTCATCCTTTCATTTTTTCTCTAGCAACTATTATTCCGATGTCACCAGATGAGGTGTTGCGCAAAGGAAGTGGGACCCTTTGTGAGATGCTTCTAATGGTTCAGGTTGGCTTTTGTTTTGACATTGATATGTTTGTCTATCCTTTTCTTTCTAAACTACTGATTTGTTTTTACCTTCCTTTTCTTTCGTGATTTTATGTTTGTTGCAGGCTTACCAGGCTAATGTTGTGTGTCCTAACAAACATCTATCAGATCCAGAGAAATTCTATAACAACCGGCTTCTTGAAAGTGAGACATACATAGGTGGTCATGTAGAATGCCTGGAGAGTGGTGTATTTAGATCCGACCTTCCTACCAGTTTTAGGCTTGATCCATCTGCCTATGATGTATGCCACATTTATACATCTCAATCAAGTTTCCTTGATTGTAGATTTCTCTAGTCTTCAATGTATTTAATTGACAATGGTGTTTCAAAACCACTGATTACATTTGATTCCTCTACTATTCAGCAATTGATAAACAATCTGGATCGAGATCTGCAGTATGCCATACAAGTAGAAGGAAAAACAGACTTGGAGTTAGTGTCAAATTATAGTGATGTGAAGAATGCAATCATGGAAAAGGTGGCAAGAATTTCTTTTTGATACCTTAATTTATTTTATTTTATTACAAATGCTTTTATGATTTTTATTTATGCTCATCTGAACATTATTATTATTATTATTTAGAATGGCTAATGAATTGAAGTTGCTTTTCTTTAAACTCCAGTATTGATTTTTGTATATTTATTATTAATATATATATATATTTTTTTTTTAATGAAGCAAAAGATTTGATATACTTTCTGTCCATGGTGTTTCCATCTTAAAATGTATAAGGATACCATTTCTTACCATTTTGTATTTTCTTGTAAACTTTCTTTCTCCCTCTCCCATCTGATGCATAGCTTATTAGATTGCGGGATGAGCCTGTACGTGAAGAGGGCCCTCTGATATATCACCTTGATGTAGCTGCAATGTATCCCAACATTATTTTAACAAATAGACTTCAGGTATGTTAAAAATTCTGCTTCCTTTTAGTTAAGGTATACATTCAATTTTAAAGGAGAGCTACAAATTATACTTGATTTCTCTAGGTTTCAAACAAGGTTGTTTGTAGTTTTTATTTAATAAGTTTGCTAATAATGGAATATACATTTCAAATTGTGCAAAAAGCAAAAGGAAAATCAATGTTTTGCAACAAGACTGTTCTTCTGCTCCTCCCTTTGGGCGTTTTGTTCTTCACTGTTTATTTTTAGACTCATGTAACTTCGCTTTTCTAAGTGTTTGTATCTTTGAACATTTTTCTATCTTTTCATATATCAACGAAAATTTTATTTCAATTTTTTTTTTAAAAAAACAATAAGCCTGCTCGATCTATTTCTAGATAATTTTCACTTGACTACCTTCATGTTTTCTTCTGAGGAGCCCTGTATTCTATCGTGGAAAATGGTGTGAGCATGATGTCACAAGTCTTTTGAGGCTATTCTTGGGGAGTTTGAGCTCTCATGTTTGATTATGTTGGATGACACTGGTCCATGAAAATGGAATATTTCTTTTTAATTTTCTTTTAGCTATTACAAGCTCTTTACAAACAAATTATTGTTTTGAGAGCACATATAATGGCTTGACTACTCGCCCAATTCCAGCTGACATGATTACTTGTTTTGCCAAAAAAATTATTTCCCTATATCAAATGTACTAGCCATTAGTTCCATACTGTGGATGGATTTAACAGCTTATTTTTGTTTAATTCCAGCCGTCGTCAATAGTTACAGATGAGGTTTGCACTGCTTGTGATTTCAATCGTCCTGAGAAAACTTGTCTACGAAAACTTGAATGGGTTTGGCGTGGAGAAGTATTCATGGCTAAAAAAAGGTCATCTCTCTCTCTACTTGTGCCATTTATCTGTTGTTATTTTTCATGAAGCGTTTTATTGAAATTGTGTTATCACTTCATCAAATTCAGTGACTATTATCATCTGAAGAATCAAATTGAGTCTGAGTTTGTTGATAGCGGTAGTGCTCGGTTGTCAAAATCATTTCTTGAACTTCCAAAGTTGGAGCAGCAAGCAAAGCTCAAAGAACGTTTAAAGAAATACTGTCAGAAGGTTTATTGATCACTATTTACTTGAATGTCTGAAAGTCACTTTTGACATATATTAATTCTGAGATTTTTCAGGCTTATAAACGAGTACTTGATAAGCCAGTCAATGAAGTTCGAGAAGCAGGGATCTGCATGAGAGAAAACTCTTTCTATATTGACACTGTTCGTAGGTACGTGATTTAGATAAGTTGGAAGTCGATACATTTCTTGGCTGATATTTCCTCTTTTAGTAGTTCAAACCATTATATATGGTGTTTCCTAAAAATGGTTTCATCTATGGTTGGTATTTTTACAAAAAATATTTAGCTTAACAATACAAAAAATATTTAGCTGTTTCTTACATCAATTCTATTTTACTGTGGTATTCCATTTGTTAAATCTCCAATCAACTCAAAAGCTAAGATAATGGGTTATGACAAATTTAATTATATTAACACTTCATCAGAGTTGATGTAAAATGTTAATGGAATGACGTACTACTAATAACATACTCAAATGCTGACAAATCCCAAATGTTAAACCCTAAGCCCCCAAATCCCAAATGTTTTGTTGAACTAAAACTAATAACAAAACCAAACACTTACTAGTAATTTAACAAGATAGATGGGGGAGTCATCTTGTAGATAGGCTTGATACTTGTTTTGTCATTATCAGTTACATATCAAATCTGACTTCATCTTTTTGATATGTCCTAGTTTTCGAGATAGAAGGTACGAATACAAAGGGCTCAATAAAGTATGGAAGGGAAAATTATCAGAAGCTAAAGCGAGTGGAAATTCGATCAAGATCCAGGAAGCACAAGTATGGAAATTGCCCTTTAACTTCTTGATCACTTGAAATTTTTTTAAGCTATTTCTATTCTTAACATTGTATTTCATGTTTTCTCACTACTTTTTATAGGACATGGTAGTTCTTTATGATTCTCTACAACTCGCTCATAAATGTATCCTCAACTCCTTTTATGGATATGTGATGCGAAAGTAAGCTCTCTTTGTTTTGGCCTGAGATCTTTTATGTTTTTTTTTCCATCGACATGAGTTCAGTGTCATGCCTTCACTTCAAAATGATACTTTTCTTCTAGGGGTGCTCGATGGTATTCAATGGAAATGGCTGGGGTAGTTACATATACTGGAGCAAAAATCATTCAGAATGCTCGTCTGTTAATTGAAAAAATTGGAAAACCATTGGAGTTAGACACCGATGGTATCTGGTGTGCGCTACCTGGATCATTCCCAGAAAACTTTACCTTCAAAACAAAGTATGAATTGATCTTTCACTATTCATTCGTGTGCTTAGGTTTTGAAATAGTTAATATATATAAAGTTCAATGAATGCTTTGCAACTATGTCTTTGGCCCACTATCTTTCTTACTTCCAATGATTATCTAAAAATGATGACTATGTTATATGAAAAATATATTTCAGAGATCTGAAGAAGTTGACAATTTCATATCCATGTGTAATGCTTAATGTTGACGTGGCAAGGAACAACACAAATGACCAGTATCAGGTAAGCTTGGTTTTTCTTTATTTTATTTCTCTTTATCCACGTCTTTTCTAGCTCACCTAGACATATTGTTCTCATATTCTAAGTATTTTGGCAGACGCTTATAGATCCTGTGAAGAAAATATATAAAACACATAGTGAATGCTCAATTGAATTTGAAGTAGATGGACCATACAAGGTAATGTAGCATTTATTTTCATTTGATTAAACTAATTTTGGATTCAATGTGTTCACATAGTTTATGGTTTAGGCAATGATCCTTCCTGCTTCCAAAGAAGAAGGCATTTTGATCAAGAAAAGATATGCTGTCTTCAATGATGATGGAACACTTGCAGAGCTAAAAGGCTTTGAGATTAAGCGTAGGGGGGAGTTAAAGCTCATCAAAGTTTTCCAGGTCTTTGTTTCTATTGTTTTGCTTTTATTCTCTGCTGGTCATCTCTTGTTAATTAAAGTTTGTACTTCAATGTCGCAGAATGGTCAAGGACTGAGGTATATTTTTTTTTACTAATCTAGGCACGCAAGTCTTGTAGTATAACTGCATCTAAGCTGGTTAAATTCAGCCAGTTTTCTATTCTTTAATCGGTTTAAAATATAAACAGTTGATTTGAATCTAATGGTCCATCTCTTTGTCTATAGAAATGTTTCAGTCATTTTATCGTTTTTCCATTTCTTTAATGGACTTTGGGGACCTGTTTTGTTTTCCATTTCTACTTTTGTTTTCAGAACTCTTTTTAAAAGTTGTTTTGGTGACTTGTAAAAGGTTAAAGTAGTATAAATTTGAAATTACCATTCTTCAGACCGTAGGTTTGGAAGTAAGAACAATTTCAATTATTTTTAGATATAGGTCATCCTTGACAAAAAGAAGAAAAAAAAAACGAAAATAACTTCTAAAAAGACAATTGCCGAAACGTATTATCCCCGAATTTTTGTTCCACAATCTATTTTCCCCTAATAACCCATTTTTCCTTTTTCTTTTTTCATTTTAATTTCCTAGAGTGTCCTAACTAACTTGAGTGGGACAACTTTTCAGTTGGACAAATTTTGTTCTTGAGCAAACTTATGGGATTTTAGTATCCGAAATCAGAGGCCTTGAGGTGTTAGAAATCATTCCCCCAAATTCCATTTCTTCTATCTTATTCCCTAACCTCTTAACTTCTCTTCTTTAGAAGAAGGTAAGGGAAAATAATGATAAAACCACATAGCAAACAACATTTATTAGCTAAAATGTAATTGGCTTAGGGTACTGATTGGATATGATAATGGTTACGGCTTAGGGTACTGGTTGGATATGATAATGGTTACTATCTGCCTGATAGAGACTCCAAGTTATGCTTCTCTGTATTGTATGTTATGCAATCTAATATTAATTAGTATGCTATCTCACTTTTCCTGTGCACGTATATTTTAAACTTGTAGGCTGAACTTTTTGACAAGTTTCTTCACGGTTCCACCTTAGAAGAATGCTATTCAGTTGTTGCATCTGTTGCAAATCGCTGGCTAGATCTTCTAGATGTAAGTAGAATTTGAATTCAATATTCCATGTTAAAACATCGTATTTTGAAAGCTTGTCTTGAAGTCTGAAGTTAATGGAGGTCTTCCCTTTTAATTTTATTTGTAACCATAATGGTTTATGATATGGCCAATTTTCAATTTAAAATATTAATTTGTAATTTGCTTCAAATTTACGTCTCTTTTTCATGCTTCCCCTCAGAATCAAGGAAAAGATATTGCAGATAGCGAGTTGCTTGATTATATATCTGAATCCAGTACCATGAGCAAATCTTTGGCAGACTATGGAGAGCAGAAGTCTTGTGCTGTTACCACCGCAAGACGTCTTGCAGATTTTCTTGGTGATACAATGGTCAGAGATAAAGGCCTACGTTGTCAATATATAGTTGCATGTGAACCTAAGGTATGTATACAGTGTTCTCATTTAAAATAATGGATGCTTCATTGTTCGCCTGTTCTAGCTCTTAAACCATTACTTTTATTTATGCCAATTCACATAATCCACCTCCTTCCCTCCCACCCACGTCTTCCTCTCAAGGGAGGGAGGTGCCAATGAGGGTTAGGCGTTTTTTTTATGTACCATATGTATCCTTCTTCTAAAAGAAATGATTTAATTTATCGAAGTAAAATCAATTGTCTAGCTCCCACAAAAATCTTTTGATTTTTTTTTTTTTTTTTTTTTTTGCCTCTTATGATGCATCAATTTTAAAATTTGTTTGTTACTTAGTACAAGGTGGATCGTTAGCCGTTTAATGACATCAAAATCTGAGTAAGTTCAAAATTTACAAAATCTATGATCCCCAAAAGACAACTGCTGCTCCTAAAGACTCTTGTGTTTCTCTCTATCCACATATCCATGAAAAAAGCTGTACAAACTGTGAACTAAAGACTAATTGCAGTTTTCTTATTGAAAATTTGAAGAAATAAAACCTTTGGTGAATTATTCTGAACTCAGCTTGAACCAGAAGGAAGCAACACAAGCACAGTGGCTGAACGAATGCTTAGCATCCTTTTGGCTGTTCTGGTGGTTGATGTTCCTTCCCGAATTTTAATAACTAGTAAACTTGTTCACAAAAAAGGGGTGATGACAGGTTTTGGTAGATTGATCCATAGGAATCTTCAATCCACAATGGGTTTTCATCTAGAATTCTAAGGGTAACATCATTCAGTTGCTATATGGAGCTCTTTTGCCATCTAAAGCTCAATTGATTTAGGTTAATGCTGTCAAGGCTTTCATTTATGAGGTTTGGTTTGAAAGAAATTAAAGAATTTCTGAAGATAAACTTTCAACTTGGTGGGGAACAATTGCATGTAGTCAAGATTAAATCTTCTTATTGATGTTTTCTTTCTCCGTTATGTGGGGGATTTTATTTCCCCTCTTAGCTTGTTTTCTTGTTATTTTCACTCCCTGACATTGGATCCTTGATTTTTTTTTTTTTTTTTTGTTTGTTTGTTTGTTTATATTCATTAATTAATGAACAATTTGCTTCTTTCTTCTTTTAAAAAAACTGAATATCATAATCCTCCAGACCCTCTAACTTTGAAATATACTACTAAGGACTCTTATAACATTCATTTTCCCCCCTTTTCTTTCTTTGCTCAAACCATCCAAAGATCATTGGCCTTGGAAATATTAGTCACCCCTTTACGCCATGACTCCTTTGAAAATTCCCATCTACATTTTGCTAAAAGAATTTTATTTTTTTCCCTCTAAAGTTGCAACATGCAAACCTCCACACTTTTTAATTAAAATTATTTCAATGGTCTAGCTTCTTGCCCAACTTTTTAATTCATTCTTTTGTTGATAATGTGATAGGGAACACCTGTAAGTGAGCGTGCTGTTCCAGTTGCAATCTTTGAGACTGATGCAGGTAAAAATCCAGTGTGGATTTCTTGGACTTGATTCTGTCGATTGGGTAATTTTTTTTATAAAAAAATTGGCTTTTAATAATTAATTGCAGAGATTATGAAATTCTATGTACGTAAATGGTGCAAGATTTCATCTGAAGTTGGCATCCGATCCATCATTGACTGGTCCTACTACAAGCAACGTCTAAGCTCAGCCATTCAAAAAATTATAACAATTCCAGCAGCCATGCAAAAGGTTGTTTCGTGCTATCTATTTGAACAATCGATCTTGTTTTCTTACTAAAAGAAAAATATTTTTAGGTTGCAAATCCTGTTCCTAGGGTTGTCCATCCTGATTGGTTACATAAGAAAGTTCGTGAGAAGGATGATAAATTTCGCCAACAGAAAGTAGCTGATATGTTTGCATCCTCAAACAGAGGTAAGCATTCAAAGAAGAATAGTGATGTCAGCTGCAGCAAGCATGTGGTGAATGAAGATAATTCTGACGATTTAGAAGATTTTCAAAAGAAAACAAATTCTACAAATGGCCCCAAACCAGTTGCCCGATGTTATGATGTCAGAGGAATGAAACATTCAAGTACAAGCTATAGCGAAATAAACTCCAAGGTGCAGGATAATTTTAATGAAGGATGTGAGCCTTCTTCACCTTTGCATGTTGAAAACATTGACAAAAATGTCGATTACAATGGATGGCTTGAAATGAAGAAGCGAAAGTGGAAGGATACCTTGGACAAGAGGAAGAAGCAAAAGTATGTTTTATACTGCGCATTTCCTTGCAATTGGTATATGGTATCTGAACAATGAAGAATACCAAAAAATGAGTAAAACCTGAATAAAATACTAAGGGGAAATTTATGCAATGTGTTATAGATATGCTAATACTAAGGGGAAATTTATGCAATGTGTTATAGATATGCTAATACTAAGGGGAAATTTATGCAATGTTTTATAGATATGCTAAGTTGTGGTTGTAAGCTTTTATCTTGACGTGTCCTTATGCATGAGAGAATTTTACATCTCACTAAGTATAGTCCATATTCTAATAAGGTAGCTAATGCCTTTAGCACAGTCCTCTTGATTGATTTTTTTTTTTTTATCATTTAAATCGCAATGAAACCCTAGAGAACTGGTTCTACTAGAGCAAGTATTGTTGGAATATGACTTGAATTTTCAGTATACTGTCGGGAAGTTCCATTGTTACTAGAGGTAACAGTTATCTCCCATTTGGATATGAAAAATATGGGTATCTGCTCCTCCCTGTTAGTTCCTTATCATGCTGGATTGTTTTACAATTTTATGGAATATTTAGTTCAAAAGAAACGACATAGTTCTTAAAGAAGTGTAGAGGTCTAGACTCTGGGGGGACGTTTAGAGTGGATGCATTTTAATATTCCCTTTTGGGGTTTTGTAATTAAACTGTTTAGAGATTTTTCCATTAACTAACAATTGTATCTCCTTTTTGTAAAATCCTTATTCCTTTTTTTTTTTTTTTTTTTTTTTGGGCGG